TCTGGAAATTTAAAATATACAGTACGTATGTTGCGGTGTACCGTTGAAAATACATTATTATAGAAAATATATACATACAATACATAGCAATAAACAAACCGAATTTAGGTCTAGAACTTCCTAAAATCGTAAATTTGAAGATAAGAAATTGAACGCCGCTATGTTTTTTTTTATTGCTTAAATAGGTGGACTAGCTCACAGCCCATCTGGTGTTAAGTGGTTACTGGAGCCCATAGACATCTACAACGTAAATGCGCCACCAACCTTGAGATATATAAGTTCTTAGGACTCAGTATAGCTACAACGGCCGCCCCACCCTTTAAACCGAGACGCCTTAGGTACTGCTTCACGGCAGAAATAGGCAGAATACCACCAATTAAATGTATGTTTGTACTAGGTATCCAAAATACGAGGTTAAAGTCTCGATTCCATCACAACGCCTACTATATATTCAAAATGAAATGCAAAATTATTTTATATAAGTTGGTAACTAATTGCTTCTTCCAAATTAACAAATCTTATTAACATGCTTAGTGCACAGCACGAAGATTTCTTATAAACTATTAGAACTTTAAAATGTTATTCGTAAGACAATTACAATCAGCTGACGCTCGAGATCAACGAACTTATGTGGGCGGTCTCTGCCTTTGTTTTACAGTGTTGAAAAATTATCTCACTAAAACGAAATGTAAGCTAATAATATAAAACCAAAAATCAAAGTCCAATATATTCGTTATCTCTATATCTATAGGTATATATATAAATGAATTGCTGTTCGTTAGCCACGCTAAAACTCGAGAACGGCTGGACCGATTTGGCTAATTTTGATCTTGAATTATTTGTGGAAGTCCAGAGAGGGTTTAAAAGGTAGATAAATATGAAAATGCTCGGAATTAAATAAAAATAAAAATTTTGTATTTCGTTTGATGTTTTCCCCGTCGGTCGGATTCCTTTTGTTTGTTTTAAGTTTATTTTATACAAAAGTTTAGGTCTTTTATTTATCGATTGAGGCACTACGAAGTCTGCCGGGTCAGCTAGTATAAAAAAAAAGTGTGTGTGTCCGCTCCGACGCACGACTGGAGTTTACTGGATATAAAAAATTAAACGAAACAATACGAGAAATAGTTCTATATTACGACAACACGATACACTACAGATTATTAACAAATTAACGAGACACAAAACAAACGACTAACAAATATATGAAAATACAATAATGAGAGAAACGCGCGATCAGTACGAGGCTTTGTGGCGGACTGCCGGCGCAGCAGCCCGGCGTCACCTGCGATAACGCATTTCGTGTGACATGCGCAATCAGGCGCATAACGCATTTCGTGTGACATGCTAGTACGATTTTGGTCCCCATAATTTTCATACCCCGGGCCTATATATGTAAATCGATTCTAAAGGAGTAAACTCCAATAAAAAAAAGCTTTTTGTAACGAATTGCGCGATAGATGAGATATCTTTCCTAGGGCTTAGGAAAGTTCATATCGTCTTTGTATAATACTCATATCATCATCATAATCATAAACATGGGCACTATCCGACTTCAGTGATGGTTTGGTGGGGTATTAGCTATGAAGGAGTGAATGAGCCATACTTTTGTGAAAAAGGTATCAAAACCTCGGCACGAGTGTATCAAGATACTCATATAACATACAATAAATGTGCAATAAACTTCACATTTCTAATCAATGCCTCGGTAAAATAGTTTACGCTTAACGTGATCAGAATACGTTCAAAAACATATGGAATGACCCGCTCCGTAAATTGTCATTCGCACACACATAAACTTCGTACAGTAATTAAGATTGTTTGCTGAACTGTAAAATTGCTTTCAACAGAACCTTCTTTTGAGTCTCGCTTATTTGGAATAGACGAACGGTTTCAATCCTAATCTATTTCTATGCTTTTATCATAATTATATTTAATAGAGGTCCCGCAGTAGTCGAAATTCGACTATAATTAATTGGAATTGTAAGTTTGTAAACTATTATGATTGTATTTTATACTTCTATAATCACATATTTCGCCAAGACTACACTATAAAAAATATTAACAAAGATAAACAATATTTATTCCATTCTCAATTTGACCACAGACGTCAAGAACAAAAGTTTGACAATAAGTAAATAGTATGAGTATGTGCGTCAAATACATGGTACATAGTGTGTGTAATGTTTTCTTTACTGATTTAAAGTATCTTTTATGCATTATTTTAAAAAAATATTAGCATTGTGCACTCCTTCTCTATATTCTCTATAAGTGTAAGAAATTTCATACTCTTCCGTCCACGCAATTTTCGTAAAAAGGGGTACAAAGTTTTTGCTTCTCGTATTAATATATAGATAACCAAACTTTAAACTCAAATAGAAGTGAAATACATATACTCTTGCCTTCAAATCATCGATTTTAGATTTTTATTATTACCTCATTATCTACTCTGGCTGTCGAGCTGACTGTTTACCTAGTGTCAAGTGATTAACAGAATATAACCCATAAAATCACAATGTGTATGCCACACATCTTGATACTTGAGGTCAAAATCTCAATGGAATGAATGACTGCAATATCGGACGAATACAATGAGACGTTTTGGCTTGAGCGTTATGTAAGGATACGAGCTCTTCTGCCCAGCTGGTTAAAATAGCATCTAAGAGTAAAGACATACAAGGTAAGATTACGTTGTATATAATAAAATTTAGCTTTATTAGTCAATATCTGACAACAGGCTTTTTAAGCTATTGCATAGATTTTGTCGTGGGGTTTGAGCACGGCGACCGAATCAAGAAATTCCATAACGAAAATAAAACCTAACACCCCCACTCCGCCTACCATGTAGCTTGTGTTCAACACATTCACAAGTTGCATTTGTGTAGTGTTTGTGAATGAGCGCGCGGAGTGACGTCGCACTGCATGCGCATCATGATAAGTCTACCCATCTCTCTCTCGCGTGGTCTAGCTTATGAGTGTGAAGGTACAGTTAATGTTTTGTCTTTGTTAACGTTTTCTAAATATAGCGTGGTCTTAGTTTATTCTTGTTTTAATAATAAATCATTATTGTCTAATTATAATTGCATAAGTTGATGAAATATGCTATGCAATAGCTTTACCACGGCAGTTCCCGAGTGCCACACAGGTTTTTTTTTTCATAAACTTATTTCGTATTTGACACGACTCTACGATCTAATTACAATAAATTATTGGCCGAAGCTACGTCAAGCGTAACGGCTTTGTTAAGGCCATGTAATTAAACTTAAAAAGGGATAAGCGAGTCCTCAAATAAACATCGGAGAGAGCCCCTCACGTTCTGTGGTAATGTACCGAAAATACCTTATTTGAGTACGTTTTAATGTATTTATTATAAGCAAATATGTTTTTAAATATTTACTTGGAACCTTTTTTGGGAATTGCACGAAAATCAAGATATCCTTTGTCCGGTTATTTTTGCTTGCCGAGTCGTCTTCGTTTTCGTGGTCTGATGTGTTAGACGCCCGGTGTATTAGACCGGCGGGATGTGATGATCCCGGGAATAATCGACTACGGCGGTTCCGAATGCTTCAACAAATGCCTACGTAGCACGTAATCATGAATGCTTAAAGAGCTTTGAAGATATGAAGAGAGCTTAGTGAGGGTCAAACAATGGGCACGGAGTCCTGTTTGCTATAACGTAATATACTAATGCTAATCTATACTAATGTTATACATATGAAAGTGTTTGCTTGTTTCTTCTTCTTTCACGCAAAAACGAAACACTGCATTGAAATGATTTGTTTCAAATTAATATGCTTATAGTAGTATAGGCCAGGAAAGTAAGAGGCTACCTTTTCCCCTAAAAAGATCTCATTCCCACGGGAAACTACGTTGACACTTTACCATGAATACGCGGGCGAAGCCGTGGGTAATAGGTAGTTTTATATAAAAATGACTTCAGATTCAAAATAGACCTTTAACTAGACAGTTGAGAAAATTTCGTTTTTTATCGCTAAAAACTGGCAACTACAAAAACGCCCCTATGATGAACTAAATTCTTGATGATTAGATGATTTTACAAATTCATTAATTGAAAATCATAGCATAGCAAACTTACAAGAACATTAACTTCTGAAACTGATGGAGTTATCAAAACATAATTTTAGTGATTACGTAAAGTTTTACTGTCTCGGGCAAACTAAATTAGCAAACTTCGAATTGCCGAGGATGCCAATCAATCAAAACCTTAGCCCGTGTCCAATGACTTATTAATTAAAATAGGCCTGATTTACATATAAAGAGTCTGCGAGCTTAAGTTTTTGAGTCACGAATTAAGTTTAATTATTCTTATATTATTAAAGTTAATAAATTTATGACTATTAAGTCTATATACTAATATTATAAGTAATTGCTTTGAGATAAAAAGGTGAAATATGGATAGTAATATTTTCTGTTTGTTGCTATTGCTAACTTATCTTTTTTTTTTGTTAGGACAAATCCTAACAACATTTTTCATTGTATTTTTTTTTTATAAAGCCGGATGATTAAATTTCTCAGTAATTTCACAGCAATTCGTAATTGCTCTTGGAAGAGATTTATTGTAAAGATAAATTGTACTTTCATAATCTTCCTTTTATTGCTTTGTGGGTCTAGTGGTTGGTGACATGTTTATTTATACAACGGGCTTGACTTTGATCGTTAAGGTATAAAAATATAACATTATATTTAAACAAATTTGGTATTTGGTATCATAGCCGAAGTTTTTCTGCCTCGAGTTGTTCATAACAGGATTTTTTGTTGGGATCTCTTGGATATTCCATCTACCTTTCAACATTGGCGAAGAAAATATGTATGTAGGATGATGGAGTAAACAAGAAGAAGACGTTTTATGACGAACGTGATTGCCCATCGTTGCTAAGAAATAAAGACGGTTTTTTTTGTTCGCTTTTTTTACCTACCTTCGCTAGTAACCTCGATAGGCTATCTTAGCTTCATAATTCGTGGGAAATCATCAAATCTCGTACCTGATAACAGCACATTCCCCGCGCCATCACATACACTCTGTCGAAGAGAGCGAACAGAGAAGCCGAGGGCTGGTGTATTGTGCATATGATAGTTCTTCCTTGTCTTGACAATAGCCGCAAAAGCACTACCAGTTGTCGTATCGACACGATGTCCAAGCCTCTAGAAACGACAATGAGATAATTAGATAATCTCCACTTTCATACACGTTTATTTCTATAAAACTTTACAGTACATTGTTCTAAGTCATGATTTTAATATCAGATTACAATATATTTTTTTAAATTTATTATTATTATTATTTATAAGTAAATTGATTAGATTGTACTCATCTACCCACTCATGTAAAGCTTTCTTTCTTTAAGACCGGTTAGCTGGTAGATAGCTCAATTGTTGAGTTAAGCTCGCCATTTTTTATATCTTATCGCAATTACTGTATTACATTAACTGTGTGTACAAATAAAGAATAAATAAATAAATAAATTTATTTTTAATACAAAAATAATAGCCTCGTATATTGATAACAACGGATTATTCATAACAGAAGATTACATTACTTCACAACATAACTTTAACAATACTAATCGGTTTTTTTCTTTAAAATATAGTATTTCTTGAAATAATTAATGTCAAATAAATTTTTAAATTACCCATAAAAAGACAAAATATTACACAAGATTATGTTAAATATGTGTTTTGCAATAATAACACATTATTTCGGGTCGTATTAATAAATGGTGCTTATGCAAGCTTACTTAATACATCTAAAGATACAAATTATACAATCTCGATATATAAACAATAAAGATTTACATAAAATAATGAAATATTCAAAATAATTGCAGAATATGACATGAAATAACCATTACATTCACGTTACATTACCATATATTACTAATTTCCCAATGCGATAGCATTGCTATATTTTAGCTTATTCTAACTTTGCAACAATGTATTTAAATCGACAATAAATCAATGTCGATGAATGATTAATGTTAAAAAAATATTGAATTTTAAACAAGCATGTGGTTATCATAAATAATTTATGGGTCGTTGACTTGTCCAGCAAAAGTAGATGCGTAATGACGTCATAAAATTAACGCTACTCTCAATTTAATGTTCGACACGAAAATTTTAAAGGAGCTTTGCTCTTCGGTGTCCAAGCTTACAAGCGTCGATCGGCGTGAACTTGACTGAGCTATTGCTTCGGGTCATTGAATCTCGAATTAAAATAATTTACTCTTTAATTTATATACCTATCATACTAATAATACCTATCATTACTTTTAGTTGTGAGGTTTAGCTGAGTTTTTGTATCGTGATTTTAAATTCTTCGTCGTGTACCTATAATTAAAAGATCTTGTTTCAAATAATATTAGAACACAATTACTTAATATTAGAAGAAGAACAATCTATATATTAATACGTGAAGGAAAAACTTTGTATCCATTTTTACGAAATTTACGCGGACAGAGGAATATGAAATTTCCCACACTTATACAGAATATAGAGAAGGAGTGCCGAATGCTAATATTTTTTTTTAAATTATGCCTAAAAAATACATTAAATCAATAGAAAAACATTACACACACTACCATGTATTTGACGCACACACGCATGCATACTATTTGTTTATTGTCAAACTTATGTTCTTGACGTCTGTGGTCAAATTGAGAATAGATTAAATATTGTTTGTCTTTATTAATATTTTTCTATAGTGTAGCCTTGGCGAAATTTGTAATTATAGAAGTAAAATAATCTTTGAAAATAGAATAATAATAGCGTACGAACTTATAATTTCAATTAATTATAGTCGAATTTCGACTACCGGGCGGCCACTAGTAAATATGAACTGTTCAATTTGAAAGCATGGATATCCGGTCAGATGGCTCTATTATGTCAGTAATTGTCATTTCGGAAGCTGGTAATGTAAGATTACGATAACGATATTATTTATATTGTGTTGTTAACTTGACTGTATAGAGATACGAATATCGGGTGAAGTATTGCGATCCGTCTTAGTCGTCCTTGACCACGAAAACTGTAAAGTAGTCGAAACCTTGGCAATAACGTGATGGTAATGAAAAATGCGAGATCAAACCGTAAAAGCAGTTTTAATGGAGTATCATTAGTCGTCGTGGCTTAAAGGATAAGACGTCTGGTGCATTCGTGTTGAGCGATGCGTCGGTGTTCGAATCCCAGGCGGGTACCAATGTTTCTAATGAAATACTCAACAAATTGTCATAATTGACTTCCACGGTGAAGGAATAACATCGTGTAGTAAAATACAAAACCCGCAATATATAATTTTCGTAATTACTTGTGGTGGGACCTCTTGTGAGTCCTCACGGGTAGGTACTACCACCCTACTTATTTCTGCCGTGAAGCAGTAATGCGTTTCGGTTTCAAGGGTGCGGCAGTCGTTGTATCTATACTTGAGACCTTAGAACTTATATCACAAGATGGGTGGCGCATTTACGTTGCAGATGTCTATGAACTCTAGTAACCATTTAACACCAGGTGGGTTGTGAGCTCGTCCTAAGCAATAAAAAATAAATAAATTATTTGAGCGTCAAAAATTGTGAATAGAAAAATATTAAACACTAGATCCAGACGTAAAGGTACTTCGACACTAACAAAAATAAAAAAAAGGATCGCCTTAGCCCCGAGGACATCATTAATCTCAAAGCAACCATGAAAGTAAGATCAGAAGAAGGATAACAAAGTAGTATCATTGACGAACTCGGCTTACCTACGTTCCTTTGAAAAAAGGGATTACTGGGAGCGGTCCTTCCATTCGACCTGTATTGCTAATATTTACCGAAATCGACTTTTCGTAACGAATTCTCCTGGTATTGCCATATAAAAGATAAATGTTTCCAGTTCATGTAAAAAAATCCGATATTCAGATATTTTTTACGTACATCATTNCAAAGTAGTATCATTGACGAACTCGGCTTACCTACGTTCCTTTGAAAAAAGGGATTACTGGGAGCGGTCCTTCCATTCGACCTGTATTGCTAATATTTACCGAAATCGACTTTTCGTAACGAATTCTCCTGGTATTGCCATATAAAAGATAAATGTTTCCAGTTCATGTAAAAAAATCCGATATTCAGATATTTTTTACGTACATCATTATTTTTTACTATATTACTTTGTGTAGTTTTAGGAATACAACCCTAGCGACAGTAAAAATTAAATCATTAATCTAGTAAACATATCAGGTATTTCGGATAAAAAAAACTTCATAACTTCTTTTATACTACGCAGTATACTAAAACTTTAGGTCTTTAAAGCCCTCATCAATAAAGCGTCCGTCGTATTCTTCTGATTATACCATTGTCCAATTCTGAGTCAGTCCTAAATTCGGCAAGTATTTATATAAATTTTCACGATTGACTTACTGTTTAGACGACGTAAGCAATCCCCCAGAATAAGAATAAAAATAACCTAATCAATCGTAATATTTCAGCCCTCACTGATAGGTCCATAATCTTAATTCTTCTGCTCTAATTTGACAATTGCAAACTTAACATTTCAAAAGAAATTTACGTCGTGCTGTCATTATGAAACAGTAAAAACACAAAATCAGCTAAGCGGTCAAAAGTTTTGCAAATCTACTCAAAAAAAAACTCTTTTATCATTGCCAACTTTATAAATATACCAACAAGTCCAATTACGGGCATAGATAACATGGAATTTGTAGTTAAGTACAAAATTGTATGGTTGACGCAGTATTATTACTTTGTCTTTAGCGGGACACGCGGTCGTTACAGGCTAGACTAGTGATTTCAAATTGCAACGACTTCACGATCAAATATCATTAGTGTTACATTGTTGATGGCGTTAATGTGTTTCGGAAATAGCCGAGAATTAGACGTAATAAAATAATGAGACTGATGTAATCGTATAATCAAAGATCAGCTTAAATCCGCTTATCTCAAACATGAAAAAAAAAACAATTACACGTTAATGTATCTCATTAAGCTTTTGTGTTGTCAGCCTAACAAACATTTAATACAAAAACTGAATATAAAAAATTTTGATCACGACTTCGTATGATTGACAGCCTAACTAACAATAATATATATATAAATGCTTCTTATATATGCGAAAACTGTGTTGTATCATCACACACTTGATTAACCATTGTAAGCTTATAATAATGTAGGGATTTATTTCCTGAAAACATTTAACGCGTTGATTGAATAAAATGTTTTCCGGGATTATTCTGCACCTTGCAACACAGCTTTGAAAACGTTTCGATTTTCGAAACACGCCTTGGGTTTACGTTCAATAAAAACGTTACTGCAGGGCTGGTGATTAAGCCAATTACCTCTCATTGTGTCGATGTAATTTTGTTTACCTCGTTCATTGGAAAGATCCCATTCCCGTTTCACGAAATAAGTTAATACGAATTGAAATTTGGAAATTCTAGAGCAAACATTTTGAAAATTACTACTCCGATTGCGAAAAGTCTGCGATGCGTGGATGACATACGCTTGAAATTCAAGACCATAATGAAAGAGTCCATTTAAATATTGAAGTCAGATAATTAGATAATTATAGTAACCGAATTCTGTGTTTCAATGAAATTATGTAAAAGAAAAGACAGCGGAGTGCTTGAACCGAAATTGTTTTCACCAAAATAAAACTGCTCTTTTATATTAATAACTAGCGGTCGCCCGGTAGTCGAAACTCGACTATAATTATTAATTTAAATTATAAGTTTGAATATTATTATGGTTCTATTGTCAAAGACTTTAACTTCTATCACAGATTTTTATTAATCACAGATTTCGCCAAGGCTACACCATAGACAAATAACATTAGAGAAAAACAATCTTAATCTATTCTCAACTTGACCTCAGACTTGAACAATAAACAAAATAGTCGGTATGCGTGTGTCAAATACATGTTAGTGTGCATAATGTTTTCTTTATTGGCTTAATGTATTTTTTATGCATTATTTTAAAAAATATCAGCATTGTGCACTCCTTCTCTATTAAGTGTGGGGAATTTCATACTCCTATGTCCGCGCAATTTAGGGATACAAAGATTTTGCTTCACGTATTAATATATAGATAAAAAATAAAATATTAAAAAAATTCACCCGCGTTTCATCAAAGCTATCGAGAAATCCATCGACTATAAATCTA